AAAACATATAAAGACTATGTTCAATTTTCTTTAAAACCAAGTTACAAAAGACAAGTTTGAAGTGAAGCATTGTTCACCAGAAGAACAAATGACTGATTTGTTCACCAAAGAAATTAAAAAATTACAATTCATAAAATTAAAAGGGAATTTGAAATCATAGTCTTTGATAGCTTGAATTAAAAAGGGATGATGAACATAATTCAAGCCATGTTAGTTGGAGTTAGTTAGAATCAGTTTGTTTAACTAATTGAGTTTGTTAGAGGTAGTTGTTGTTATTAGTTTGCTAAGTTAAGAGGTTACTTAATGACTGATTCAAGCCTCCAAGCTATCAACTATGGCACTAATCACATTTTTTTGTTAACATTTACACAACACCGATATTTCACATCAAATGTATATTTAATTTTCGACATATTGTTACGATATCTACATTTAAATTTTATGTTATTTTTTATAATATTGACTGGGTCAGTTTGCCTGGTGTATGATTGACAGATAAAATATAAATGTGTTAAGATAAGAAGTTGTTTTTTTTCTTCACATTCTTCATGTGATTGGTGGTGGGATTATTATGGTTTTAATGTAAAGATACTTACCATTTCAAGGCTAAGGAATATTCCTTGTTAAGTATGTGTGTATGAACTTTACTTGTGTTTTCTTTCTCTTTGTTTGTTATCTTCTCAACTGTTATCTCCAACACATGGTTGGTTGGCTTCTCTCACCAACTTTGGCAAACTCCATAACATTCCACGAACCAGTAGTGTGTTATTGCTTCCAGTATGTCTCATCCAAAGTATGATGTGTTTCTTAGCTTCAGAGGAGAGGACACTCGTGACACCTTCACCAGTCATCTTCATGCAGAGTTGTCTAGGAAAAGGATTGAAACATTCATAGATAATAGACTTGGCAGGGGCGAAGAGATTTCTCCAGCATTGTGTAAAGCAATAGAAGAATCATCAATTTATGTGGTCATTTTGTCAGAACACTATGCTTCATCCATTTGGTGCTTAGATGAACTCACAAAGATACTGGAATGTAAGGAGAGATATGGAAGGGAAGTGATACCTGTGTTCTACAAGGTAGATCCATCAAATGTTAGACATCAGAGAAAGAGTTATGCAGGCGATTTTGTTAAACATGATCTCCGATTTGGCGATAAAGTGGACGCATAGAAGGCTGCTCTAACCCAAGTAGCTAATCTCTCTGGCTGGGATTCACAAAAAATCAGGTCACTCATTTATTTACATGCAGGTGTTTGGATTCGTACTCGAGTTTCTTTTCATTTAGTTTTTATGCAGATGAGAATATTAATGCTTTAAACTTTTGCATTATTTTTCAGGCCAGATAGCAAACTTGTTGAAGAAATTGTGAAAGACATTCAGAAAAAATTGAGTCGTTGTGTCTCATATGATCAAGAAGGAAAGATTGGAATTGACAAGCATATTGAACAAATCCAGACCTTGTTGCACCTTGAGTCATCGAGTGTTCGTATTATAGGAATATGGGGTATGGGAGGGATAGGCAAAACTGAAAATGCTAGTGCAATATATGGAAACTTTTCAACTCATTTTAGCGCTAGAAGTTTAGTTAAAAATGTTCAACAGGAAATAAAACTACATGGAGTAGACCATGTAAAAAGCAAATACTTATCACACCTTTCAGATCAACAAGACATTACTTCCTCCAGATTCAATTTTTCATTTGATTCGAGGCTCACACGGACAAAGGTTCTTCTTGTTTTTGATGATGTGAAAGATTCAGATCAACTTAATGATTTAATTGGAACACGTAGTAATTTTGGCCATGGAAGTAGAATCATTGTGACCAGTAGAGACAAACAAGTGCTTAAGAATACAAATGTTGATGAAATGTATGAAGTAGCTGAGATGGATGATAAAGATTCTCTACAACTCTTTTGTTTAAATGCCTTTAAACAAAAAGAACCAATAGAAACTTATGTTAGTTTAACGGAAAAGGTATTAAATTATGCTCAAGGAGTTCCATTAGCTCTTAAAGTTTTGGGCTTATTTCTTCAGGGAAGAACAAAGGAAGCATGGAAAAGTGAGTTGCAAAAGCTTGACAAGAGTCTCAAACCTAAAATTTTCAATGTGTTGAAATTAAGTTATGATGGTCTTGACGACGAACAAAAGGATATATTTCTTGATATAGCTTGTTTTTGTAGAGGGAGATTTGAGAAACGTGTAGTTCAAACATTAGACTGTTGTGGATTTTCTACTCGTATTGGAATAGATGTTCTTCAAGATAGATGTCTTATATCTATTTTAGACGGTACAGTTTGGATACATGATCTAATACAAGAAATGGGGCGTGAAATTGTTCGACAACAATGTGTTAATAATTCTGAAAAACGTAGTCGATTACTGAAGTCTGACGATATCTATAATGTTTTTAAAAAGAACAAGGTATGCCTCTTTAACCCTCCAACATCACTTTATAACTCATTCACTATCTCTCTCTCATGAATTTTATTTTTTACATGTTGCAAAATGCTTAAAAGTGGCTTGCTTTAGTTTCAAATATAAATAAAAATTGACTAAGTGATTGTTATATTTGATCCTAATTTTAATTCAATTTTGGTTTATATTTAAGACAGGAGAAAATATTACATTTTATGGAATCTTTTTACTGTTTATTTATCTAGAGAAATTCTCATTGTTGGTGTTTAGATGATTGTACATCACTCAAGAGTTTAAGTGTTTGTAGCAACATTCTATCAAGCTCAACTGGATTAGTTGCTCTCCATGATTGTCGCAACCTTGAAACAATTTTAATCACTAGTATAACTGATGTGGTTCAATCATACACTTGTTTTAATTCTGATGGATATTTCGACTTCAAATCAATATCTGTGTTTGATGATAACACGCTAATACAGACAAATTCTGGGGGAGGTTATGGGATTGGGACTTTTCAGGATGAAGATTCGTGTTCTTTTTCAAGTATCAATGAGCTTTGTTGGTTAGATCTTTCGGAATGTGAGTCCCTAACACGCCTACCAGCTGAACTTTTAAATTTGAAGTTTGTAACAAGACTTAGTCTCAGTGGTTGTTTAAAGTTGGAAGAGTTACCTGAAATTGAGGACACTATGGAAAATTTAAAAGTGCTCAACTTAGACAATACAGCAATTAAAGAACTACCTTCATCGTTGCATCATTTGGTCGGGCTCGAAGAATTGAGCTTGCAAAGATGCCAAGAGCTTAAGACTATTCCAAGCAGTATTTTCAAATTGAAGTTGACAGAACTTGATTTTGACGGTTGCTCAATGCTTAGGACCTTTCCAGAAATCTCAAGTGACATTGGTCGACTATCATCCTTGACTGAAATTTCAATGCGAGGAACCAATATTGTGAATCTTCCCGAGAGTATGGTTCATCTCTCAAGTTTGGAATCACTTGATTTAAGTGATTGCAAAAGCCTTGAATGTATTCCAAAGCTTCCGCCATGTCTAAATGAGTCGTTGGCATTTGATTGCACATCCATTAAGAAAGTGGTGCCAAATCCATTGTTGAAACGCATGTCTGATTCCGATGACGAAATGGATGGTATCTACGAGTTCCATCTCACCAACAGTGAAGAGTTAGATGCATCTTCTTGGAATTATATCGCAAACGAAATGGATGGTATCTACGAGTTCCATCTCACCAACAGTGAAGAGTTAGATGCATCTTCTTGGAATTATATCGCAAACATAGCCTGGATTAAGATCACTGATGACGCATATATGTCAGCGCTCTTCTGTTTTCCAGGGAGTAGAGTTCCAGATTGGTTCCTTCACCATTGCCAAGGACATTCAATAACTGTGAAATATAATGATGAATATGTGTGCAGTGAAAATAGGCTCATTGGTTTCGCTCTCTGCGTTGTTTTTGGAGGTGAAGATATGGATGACACAAGAACAAGAGGTAGTAGCATTACATAAAAATTAAGCTTTATATCTGATGGTAAGCCATTTGTTTTTCATGAAAAATTGAACTGGATGCGGGAAGATAGATTTATCATCCGAGATCACACATTCCTATGGAAATATCAATTAGACCGAGCAAGCATTTGCAACAATCTCATTCATGCCCAAAGCTTCACTTTTGAGATCCTTGGTGGTGATTATGTTAGGCCCTCAGTGAAAGAGTGTGGAATACGTCCTCTGTATATTCCAAAGAACCGAATGCAAGCAATATTTGAGTTGGATGCCTAGTTGTTACAAGTAAAGTAAGTAATTTTTCTTTTGTGAATAAATTGTCTTATCACCAATAATTTTTCTTAGATGTTGAAATTTTGTTGTATAATTCACAAACCACAAGTACTCTGAATTGAATACTTTTTGTGGCATACCATGGATTCCTCGACACATGTTTTGACGATTAAGCATATGTTAACTTCCTTTGTTTTTCCATGACTACAATTTCTTTTATCTGTTACCATTTTGGCTACAATAAATTTTTAGAATTGTTTGAGTAAATAAAATCCCAAGTTTACATGTTAACTAGTGTTTTGACTTTTGAATAACTTCATTGAATTAGGTTGGTGTATTTAGTTATAAACCTATAAACAATTAAACATTTTGGTTGATCAACCTAGCAACTAATCGCATAGTATCATTGATCTTATCAAACTAGTTAACTTTGATTTTACTTTTTGTATTGATTGTTTTGGTAAATAGATAACAAGTTGTTGTTATTTGTATTTCAGATATTTGGTAGACACAACTCAGAGACATCATTTTCTTCCCTTCAAGGAGAACACAAATCAATCCTTGTCAAAACTCTTTTTAAGCATTCCTCCACATTGTTTAGTAAATGTGTTTATAGTATCAAGTATCACTGTAATAACTTGTAGTAATTTCTTAAAAGAATTGGCATCCCTCAATATAAAAATCACAGCCTTTAGAAATGGAAAATAAGAATCTTGTTATGCAACAGCTGAAAAATGTTAGCTCTTAGAAAAAGTAGTAAAGTAAAGCACAAAATTTCTAGTCTAAAGTATCACAAGGGCATTTTGTTCAGCTCTTTCCCTATCGCATCTGTCAACTGCTCAGCGTTATACTCGACTCCAAAGCATCTCACAACCTCCATGTCAGGGTTCAACAAATACCTGATAGTTTTAACATCACTTATATCTATGTTAAGTGCAACCATACAGAACTTCAAAAGGAAATGCATGAGGGCAGAATAATGGCTCACATATTGTGGGAACTGTCGACAAGATAATCAGCACCATCCTCTTCTACCTTTTTAAAATACACACGATATTCTTGTGCCATCTTCCTAATAGCTGTAACTGTTCCGGTTAATCCTATGATTCTTGAGTTGAACTCTGTAGTACAAAAGTTAAAAGGACAAAATTATCGAGGATGTGGAATATAAAATAGAATGTAATTTCCTACATCCAAAAGTTTTAGCAATTACAAATCACAATATTTTGGTCAATGAGACAACCTAACCTTCCAGGTATGCACCGAGTTGTGAGGGAGTATCACGTTGAGGATCAATGGTAACAAATACAGGTAGAATTTTAAGATTCTGTTGTGATTCTTGATCATAATAAACGCATACCGTTAAGGTTTATCAGAAAACAAACTTATAATAAAGTAAGCAGAGAGAGATAGAAGTGTCAAACCTAAGATATCAATTGCCTTCGCCATAAGGTGAACTTGTTCCGGCCCAATATCAGGAGATGAGGTATAACCAAAGTAGAGGAGGATCCAATTACCAAGAAAATTGCGTTCAGTAACTGTTTGTTTTTCTTTATTAACCAGTGTAAAGGGACCGCCAATTATAGGTCCACTGACCACATTTCTATTGCGGCTATCCCCCGCATAACCTGATCCAACAGACAAAGCAAGTAATACAACAGAATAAAAATTACTTAAAATGCAATTACACTTGCAGAAGAACGAGGACAAGGATGTCACAAGTTAAAACACACACTTGTCACCAAATATTAGAAATACCTTTCGGAACAGCTCTCCTCTCGTCATTATAATGAAAAAAAGCTGCAATCCCGGCAAATCCTAGAGCAACAGCTGACTACATGAAACAAGATTAACATTCATACCATTGCTGATAATGAAAGAATAAAAAACTATAAAATTAAGGGGGAAAAAGGAACATACCGCAGTATAAGCTCCCCAGGAGCGGGAATTCTCAGATTGTGCAGGAAATACAGGGTGAAGATCATGTCTTGGTTTACCACGTTTTGTAGAATTTGTATATCTAACAGATTGAATTGTATTGGAGGGAAGGCACCTATAACAAAAAAATAATTATAACAATAACTAGTCATGAGTCACCGAAATTGAAAAAATAAATAAAAAAGAGTGAAGAATTGGGTTTAGAGAATGACCTAGGAAGAAGAAGGGCGAGAGCTTCTCGGGTAGAACGGTGTTTGGAAGAAAAGAGTAAAAGTTTTGATACAGTCATGGCTATTGGTAATTAATAAATATTCTAAATTTTATGTTTTAAGAATAAAACAGTGGAAAGGGTTATTGGTTTGTGAGTTTGAATTGGGAAAAGTAAAACCCATGGCTTATTATTATGCTGCTGATGCCTGATACAAGTTTTTGAATTTTCTTTTTCTTTTTCACCAAGATTACCAAAACAGGGATATACATATTGACGGTTTGACCTACCTTCATTATCGTATCCTATTTTTTTTTTTATGTTTGGATAATGGAATTTTTTAAATTAAAAAAGGATTTGACTCTATGATAGAAAAGTAAAGGAAATAGAAAAATAACGGAATCAAACTCAAAACCTCAAATCTAATAAATTAAAAAGATTTAATTTGTTTTTATTAAAGTTTATAGCTACATTGGTATTGGTATGTATATTATTCTTATACATCGTAACTACTAAACTTAGATTAGTGTGCATATTTATACGGTGATTCTCTTTCATATAAATGTGAGTTGCCAACAAATATTTGTTGCGGCACTTGAATACGGTAGATCTATATGTTCCTTAGCTTTTAAGGCATCGCAGAAGATTTATTAACAAGTACAATTAGTTTAGAATCTATCTTTAACCACAATCTATTTTAATGTGGATTAATAGCATGCTCTATCAGTATTGCTTCCATAAATTCAAAGTAAGTACAATTAGCTTAGAATATGTCTCCAACCACAATCTACTCCAATGTGAATTAATAGCACGCTCCACAGTTAGGATTGCTCCCATAAGCTCAACAAAAAAGTGCATTCTCTTAACTAAGATTACAAGCAAAGTTATCAAAGTACTCTCCATCATGATTCTTAAAAATTCTTCCACATGCTGCCAAAAGCAGTGTGTCCCCCTAAGCCCTATTTGTATTGGGCTTGATCTAGTCCAAAGGAGGGTCACAGGACTTCTTTCAGAATTTGTGCTCTAAAAGGGTGAGTTTTGACCATGAAGTCTTGGATAAAAGAGTTGGCACACTTGGTAGTAAGATTGTCGGACAAAGAAGTTTGAGAAAAAATGGAAGTCCGAGAAGATCTCTAATGTTTGGAAGTGTCTTGAAATCAGGCAAAATTTCTAGCATTCCAATTGTTGTATATGGTGTTTATCACTGCAACAATGATAACATTTGCATTCCATTGAGCCCCTATTGTCTATGACCTTCCATCAATCCTCCAAGCAACTTATTGGACCTCTCTCCAACTTGTTCGCCGACCAATGTCAAACGTTTTGACATACTTGAAACTAAAAAATAAATGATGTGGGGTATCCTCATTACCTAAACACAGGTTGCAGTACGAGGGTAATTGCAGACCCTTCAAACATAAATTATCATTTGTTGATAGTTTTCTGTAAATTAGTCTCCAAAGTAAGAATGACTTTAATGGTGGGATTGATGAATTCCAAATAGTCATACATCATGCAATGACCTAACAAGAGTAGGAGAAATGAGTATAGGTAGTTTTGACAAAAATTTGACCATCACTAGCTGACTTCCAAACTCTCATATCTTCCTTCATTGAATTGATGAACACCCCTGTTGTTGCAGAGGCAGAGCAGGACACATGAGCACCAAGTTTTGAGGAAAAATTATAGAAGGGTTAAATAAGTTTTTGGCTATCATAAATATAGCGATTTTCGTTTTTAGTCCCTCTAAAAATTTTCTTCAAAATGGTCTCTTCCATCCAAACAATTAGTCTCTAACGTCAAATGTCACTAACGGATGCTTACGTGGCAAGACAGATGGATTTATTTTATTTTATTTTTTCATGAATGACAGCATGGAAAATGCCACAAGTTAAAGCCGATGCGTTTTCATTTTGACCTAAATCCTTTATCCACCTGTTTCGTTCCTCTATGTTTGCTTCGTTCATGTTCTTAAGCCTCTATGTTCATCTGCTTCATTCCTTTTTGTCTGCTTCATTAAAGCTTCATTTTTTTTCATCTTCTTCATCCAGCTTCTTCGTTTATCTTCCTCAAAGATTCGTTCACTTTCACTCAAGCCTCCTTATTTCTCATTTTTTTCATTTGTATTACCATAAAAGCTTCGTTCTTACAACCTAATAACGCATGTCTCTATAAAATTGTGAATTGGAAAGTTTTATTGATGTCAAGTTCATATTGTTTCATACCAATGCAAGAATGGACCTAATAAAGGAAGGTTGTTTTGGATATGTCCTTGTTGGAGGAGTGTAGATACATGTAATTTGTTCATCTGGGATGAAAACCTTAGAGCAAAATCTGAAAATGAAGATGGAAGCATTATGAACTCGGAGTTGGAAGTTATGGCATTTATGGGCTATATAAAGACCTTGTATGAAGAATCAAGGAAGAAGAACAGGAATTCGAAGACCAAATTGAAAACAAAGAAATTTCATGGAAGTTTAAAGATGATGTGTTTTGCAATGTCTTTTATGACTAATGTGTATTTAGTTTTGAAATGTAATTATTGAATTTGATGTGTTTTCTTTGAATTTGCAATGTCAAGGAAGAGTTTGCAATGTATTGAATGTGCATTGTTGGATTTGTTTTGTTAAGATATGTGATGTATTTTGAGTTTGTTTTGTTAAGATATGTGATGTATTTTGGGTTTGTTTTGTTAATGAAAGGTGTTAAAATAGTGTGTTTTAATTTGCATATAACAGCCCAAATTGGTATACAATGTTAACAAGTTGACACATTTTGCACAAATTGGTAGAAATTGGTTGTAACTTGATTGTACATAATGTCAATTACCTTATGAAATAATACATAATATTGATGGCAGTAATTGGCAAGATTGATGTTTCAAACTACAAATTTCATAACAGAAATTCACCACAATACATAAGTTTGATGTTTCAAACAAAATAGTACCTAAGTTTGATATTACATACGATTGGTGTTCTAAAAAAGTAGTACATAAGTTTCATATTACATAAAATTGATGTCCTAATCAAAAGAGTACATAAGTTTCATATTACATAAGTTCCAAAAAAACAAGATATTTGATAACATAAGTTCACCGAGTCAAGCTCTTCTGGATGTCATTCCAAGTCTTCTTCTTCCTAGCACTGCCAACACTTATGTCTTCCTCAGGAATCACAAATAGATCCTCTGCATACTTCCCCGGTTCTACAATGCCACGTGTTTTCACATACCTACACTAGTCCCTGTACACATAATAACACAAAAATTACACATATTAACCACCAATGTCATCAAGAAGTAACATTACACATAATAACCAATGAACCATTACATGTACCTTTTGCTGATCAGATATGAAGCACCACCTACAATCACAACCAATGTCATTAAGAAGTAACTTAATAAACCAGCTCTAAGAGTCCTGGTTTCATTCTCTACAACCCCAAAAGAAATAGGAAGGTATTGGTCATTGGCATCCCTACCAACAACAATCAAAAAAATTCCACCATATTTTTTCTTTAGGTGACATCCATCTAAACCTATGATGGTCTACTGTCGTATCTCAAAAAATACGATCCTTGCAAGGTGCAATTGCACGCTCGCGGATGAGCTAATAGAGTCACCATCGAACTTTATTTATTCCTGAATAGGAAAAGGAAAAATATCGATAAAACCCCTAAACAAAAGGAAAGGATATGCTCATCAGAATCAATATCAGGTTCGAGAGTCGGTAGCGCAGGAAAAAGGTATTAGCACTCTGTCATACCCTAATTTTTAACCCTAAGATATCACCTCTTTGTGCATCATCTTGCATAACATCTCTAGGTCATTGTTGAAAATTAAATTTGGGTCATGCTTTAAGGTTTTATAAGTCATATAATCTTGTGTGTGTGTTTATCATGACTAACCAGTTTGTGCAGGAACATTGGTTTCAAGTAGAAACGGTACCTATTCTCTCAGTCAAATACTCTAAGACGCGACCAGGTGGTTCTAATTCAGAACGGTTCTAAGGTTTTCTATTTGGTCATTTTCCTTGATATTTCTCAAAATCCCCAGTGTATACCACAAAGAAGATTAGGGTGTTCCTTCCATTGGTGTTGAGTATGGTCATCTGAAGATTGGTTATGATTTTCGTGGCAAGTTGCATTATAAGTTATATCTGAGAATTCCTCATGGCATGGCACTTGTATCAAGTTCGTGCGAGCAATAAAATTGAAGCTTAATTCGAGAAAGATTTTGTTCTTGTCCATGAAGTTGGATCATTGTTTGTTCCTTTTGATCTTAAGTGAAAGAATTTAGATTTTCTTATTGGTAGTTTGTGAGCAATATGCTTTGAAGTGATAAAGTTTGAAAATTCTTAAATTAAGTTTTGGCAAGAAGTTAACGAAGTGAAGTGCGTGTTCTTTACAAAAGTTCGAATCAACTCATTGTTTTTATAAACTTCAAGTTCAAATTAAAAGTGTGCTAAAGGATTTCAAATATTCATGTTCTTTGAGAAAGTGCGATTTAAAAATTTATTGTTGTACAAGCACAAGATTCATGCTTCAAATATCAAATCCAAAATATAATCATGGTGGGATTCATGAAATTCAAAAGAAATTATCATTCATACAAAGCATAAAATTCATATTATCCAAAAATTACAAGTTCAAGCTATCACATTTCTCGCATTCACATTTCGAGTTTAATCTTACAAAAATTCATTATATAAACAAGCAATGTGAAGTTAGTAGGGAATATTCTTTGAAAGCTTCAAGTTCACTCTCTGGTCAGAATGTTGTTGATACTAAAAATCATCTCGAGGCATCGATACCCATGGATGAAGATTTGGCAGAGGACCCTGATATTTCCGTTTTTAAAGATGAACTTTGTGGACAATTCTTTGTTGTTATGGAGAAAAAGCATTATTTCAGGACCAATAGTGATGGAGGTGATGACATAGTGCAATTGGAGAAAGCATCTCACTTATTTGATGATGGTTTTACGGAGATGGGAAAATATGGGTATCTGTAGTTTAATATGAAGAATTTGGCTGAGTCACTAAAAGCACTAGGTAACAAGGAAATGCAATCCAAGAA